TATGACCTCCGAAACGTTGGTAAACATCTACAATACTACACAGCGCAACAACCCAGAAGACAGAAATCTTCATACTCACCGCTGTGAAAACCTCAAATCTTACATAGTTCTTACTCTCTTTCATAAATGTATAAGAAAATATAAAATTGATATTTTATCACGATACACAGCTTTTAATCCCTGTATTTTCGTCCCATTAAAGTTTCTATTTGATATACACGTGTATTTCTTATTGTTTAATGCTGAATTTAATTTCCGATGTTGTGTTGTAGAGCTTCATGCAATGTTATTAGGGCAGTTACTATAGGAATAATGAGGTAGGAGAATTGTGCAGCAATGAGTTAAAATACGAATGTTTTGAACTTCGACTAGTAAGCTTCAGGAAGAAGGTCGGCTCTAGAGACTTTCAGATATTTTTATAGACCTCGGTGAAAGTGTTACGTCAGTGTTTGGGTCTTTGTGAACATTTCGGTTTTATAAAAAGCAGGCAAGAAAATTGTACCCATAAACAAATTTGAGAGAAGATTCTGAGTTTCAAATTTCACTAACATCTTATTGTACAAAGCATAATTATTACTCCGGAAAGCAGAGATTTTTCGCACTTGTGAGGTTTCTAGCGTGTCGGCGAAACTCGGGAAGTCACTAAATATAATTTTTGCGACATTTAGTATAAAGGTCACGCAGTTTTCGAAACACTGTAGTTTCTGAAGATGCTGAGAGCCAAAGATATTGCGTCGACTCTGAGTATCTCGGGCATTTGATAAAAGGCACACACCATGTTTCAAGTGTTGGTCGACAGGTGGCGTGATAGTACGCCATTTGAAGAAGGAGTCTACCAGGGCGTGAGAGAAAATCCGAGAATCTCTGTCTCTAGTTTAACCTTTTCTTTTCCTTCTTAGCCACGTAATTCTTGCTGGATGTCTACTTTTTATCACCATCTGAGATGTTTATAGTAATGGGGTTTGGTCGTGCTATTCCATATCACTAACAATGTTCTGTTAAAGAAATACTTACTTTGTGCTTCGAGAGGAAAATTATTAGACCTACAAGTGACTAATTATTCGTCGTCTTATTACAATGTTTATTATGTTTATAACATAAAAAACATTGAAACACGCTGCTGTATATAAAATAAACTTAACTTGTACTATTATTGAATATTTCTATTGTAAATACATTTGTATATTTGTGGTTTTTGAAAGTAACATGTGGATGAAGGAAATTGAATTTTGAAGTTCTGTAATTTATACTTTTCACATACATTTTTCGTGAACATGTCAAACGAAATGAGAAAGACTGGCCTAACGCACTTAAGGACATTTCAAATGGAGACAAAACCTTATTTGGAAAACCTGAAGAGAAGATGCAGTTTCCTCACCTAGAAGTAGATTGGTGGACAGTACAATTTATGAGATGTATCTTTTTACGTTTTATTCTTCCTGATGAAATCGCTCTGCGGCTAGTGGCTTGTAACTGCCACTCCATCTTATCGTCAAACTCTGACAGTAGTTTATAAAATTGAATTTTTACCTTCAAATAAATGTAGAAAGTAACAGAAAACAGACTTTTCTTTTCGGATTCAATAAATTTCAGTTAAAAGTGATTTACTACACTGCACTTAAATCATCGGTGTAAAACAGAGCAAAATCATTTTCACTTAACGCATCAAAATTGCAACGATTTACGATAATGATTCAAGGAATAAAACCTAGAAATATATAATTACTTGTCTACATAACGAAATTAGTGTAAAAAAAAATCTGTGCTCTTGCGTAAAATGCTGTTAAAACTACACGAATTAAATTCAAACTGTGATCGTACAATTATTAAGTTCTCTAATATTTAATATAAAAACATCATTTAATTTGTTTACAAAATATTTCTTACGTCTTGAGGGCCAGATCATTTGTAACAAGCATTACATCGTAAATGCTTCTCTATAATAAACAGAAAATTAAAATCTCCCCTTTCTGTGTATAACAAAACAGAATGGAAATATAATTTTAAATTTGACAGTAGATAGCGCCTGGTTTTTAAACTATTGTCTTTTCTAGCTTGAATCTCACTCGCATATTCTATTATAAATTGAGCTGTGCACTGTACCGAATGTGTAATAAGTTTTTGAAACTAAATTTGTACATTGCAATAACTTTTATTCATAAATTACGTATCAAACAAAATTTGTTATCATGTTTCTACACCGTGTCTGTACAGAGTAGATAATATAATCTTGACCCTACCTGCTTCTGTTCGATTTTCTGACATTTTATCGTAAGTGTCTGGTTCTTGTGACAGAGGAGGGCGTGTCCGTTATCAGTGAAAGTGCCCGGCCTTGTAACGAGGTACCGCGTTATTGCATCTACAGGCGCAAGGCGTCTGGGTGTTCAGGCGTCGTTTTCTATCACGGTGATATCAGAGCAACCACTAAAACATGCAACTGCGTGTATACGATCATGGCCACGTAATAAAAATGAACTTGGTTGCAAATTTCGAGATTTTTCTGACTTTTCCAAGATTAAGATAAAAGGATTGTTTTAAATCAATTATCACACTTAGCGCTGGTGAATTTCCATATGAGAACAAAGTAGAATGCCTATACAGATGTAAATTCTTCGAAATTACGGAATAGATTACAATTAAATTTAGTTCTGGAGGTGTATACAAAATCTTGGTGGTTAATATCATTTAGATGTGCGTTGATAAAGCATTGAAACCTATTTATATAAAAATGAAATAAAGTTTTATGATATTTTTGCGTTCCTTAGACTAGTGGTCGGCAATCCACTGCCCGCAGATCGCATCCATACCTCGTAAACCTTTTAAGCGTTCTTATAAATGATTTGAGAATTAGCAAACGTAAAGTGGACGGACATGTGCTGATACTTATAAACAGTGATTTATATATATATATACAATAAAATTATTTAACACACAAAATCGTAGATGTAATGTTGCAGAACACAATTGTATTGTCACGTTGTTGATACATAGGAAATTTAACAAAATAATATGAAAATTATTATGGTTTTAATAGCTGAAATTTTATGAAATTAAAAATGTTTTTGCTTGAAAGCTACAGTTGCACTTCAGTTAACAACGCCATAAGTAGCTACGGTTAATTTACATACACACTATAATGACGATCTTCGTGATTTGTACTCTTTGCTTAATATTATGGTAATCGAAAAATGAAAGAGATTGGTGGATCGTCTAGTGCGCACTGAAGTGATGGTAAGATTTATACAAATTGAGAATCCTTGATGTATATGGAACAAATATTTAAAAGAAAAGTTTAAACATGGTGAGGGTAGTGATGGATCAAACTGGCTCACGAAACTCATTTGATCACGGTAATTAACCATCAGGTTCTCGACCAATTAAGCGAAAACCAATTTATTAGGATATTTTCTGCCCCATGAAGTTTCAAAGCCTAATTAATGTATTTGTCTCGATTAGGATATTTTCTGCCCCATGAAGTTACAAAGCCTGATTAATGTTTTTGTCTCAAAAGATAAGGAACTTGTCGGTATAACGTGTACGCTGTCACCCTTATCAGTCTTTATATCAGGACTCTGGTTGCTATGGGAAATAAAATAAATATCTCATTCGACATGATGATAGAAAATTTGTGGTTAAATATGTTCCCAAATGTAGGATAAATTTTGCGATTGTAAAGCGTATATATTACCGGAGATCTCTCGCCCGAACGATTAAATATTATTATTAATAAATGAAATGTTAATTTCAGGAGCATTAAATAAATGCTACTTTCGTTTGACACATTCTCAGACGTACCTTGTATATCAAAGAAGAGTGTTTTAAGGCAACAAAAGCAGCAGCATTTGTATCTAAGATATATTTATCGTTGGAAGAACTTTGCTGTTATAGATTATTGTAAATATTTGTATATGAATATCGTCATAGAGTTGGCCCAATGGTGTAACGTGTTGTACACCATTTATTCTGCGTTATATGCTACATATGGTGTAGAGAAATCTATTAGTATATTGTTTATAAACTATTAAATGAATATATTTAAGTATTTAAATTTTATTTAAATTACTCCTTAGCGTGCCTTATAAGTATTCGTAATAGACAGATCATCCGCCTTGAAAGTATTAAATAAACACTGTTAAAATTAATTAAAATCTTTAAATAAAATAACTATGAGGGAGAAATATACTAAAATCTGGATTAGATCGCTAAATACAGAAAGCACAGGGCTCATGTATTTAAATAGTTTGGCAGCAATGACGTTTGCATTTGCTAGCAATGTCATTGACAGTCACTCCACTAATTTATCTCGTATCACGTTTGCTACAGACTAATGATATTAGTGTCCCACCGAAGGAAAATACATTTAATTCGATTCTATCTTTACAACACACATACATTTTATATGACAAATTAAACGTACGAGAAAGAATGTTCATGCTCCCCCTGTCGAGCATTTGTCAGAAATGGCTCAAGAATTCTATGCCTCTCTTCAGTTTGAGTTACAGTTCATATAAATTACTTCACTGTAGTATCAGTAGAACATCACAGGCATTTGTCCTCCTATTATATAAATTGTTAATGTATTTTTACCGGATTCAATATTGGCGTAGATATAAAATTACTCCAATACGCCCATTAATAATCCTTCTTTGTTAATCTGTACTAAGTCCATCATATTCTTATAAATTGTTAATGTATTCTTGCCGGATTCAATATTGGCGTAGATATAAAATTACTCCAATATGCCCATTAATAATCTTGGCGTAGATATAAAATTACTCCAATACGCCCATTAATAATCCTTCTTTGTTAATCTGTACTAAGTCCATCATATTCTTCATTCTACGACACTCCTAACCCGCGTTTAAAATGTATTAAGAATTCTTCTACTACTCCGTGGCACTACAGACATTTTGCAGGCCTTGGCCTCGCTGTATGAAGAATGTCCTGGCGTAATTTTATTGTATCTATATCTTTAATATTTCCTTTACACATCTGGTTAAAAAATTCATCCTGTTTGACCAAAACAATTTTTGTTATAATCTAATCAATTTAGATAATAAACACTGTTATTTGTTGTATGAGTCTAATTTATTTATTTCTACTGTGGAGTGTAGATTTGTTTCTACGATATTATTAGTCTTGAATGTCATTATAAAATTGCTATTCTTAAATATATTTTTGAATCTACTTACGTTTTACCCATGCGGATAAAAGCGACATACTTCTGTATTTACGTGGATATTCACTGTTAATATTTTATGTTCCGAAGGTCGCAAGAGTAATAATTTATAATTACTTCTATAGCTGAGGGTCTCCTAAATATATTAAATAACATCAATATTGCGATTATTTCTAATAATTAAGTCAAAAATATTAGGGGAGTTACCCTCTTCTATTTCAGAAATAAATTTTAGTAAAGGAATGATGTTGACATAATTAAAAACACGTTCCGTGCTAATTACCTCTTAAAGGTACGTAAAACGAATATTATCGACATATATACAGTAATTTATTAGTACTGGTATTATATATCTGTGTTCTATATGCTGTAAGAAAACGTGGGTTGTGTTTCCAATACCTAATCCATTAGTATGTTTACAATATTATCGTGTTAGAATCATTTTGATTGATAACTAATTTCTGAGAGTATAGATTTGTCTTATTTCATCGGTAAGAAGTTTCCTGTGTTGTACTATAAACTGTATGTCCCAACTTGGGTCTGTTTGCCTACGTATTCTTAACATCAAATGAACACAAGTTTATGTGTTGTTTTATGAATATATTTGTAGTTCCATGATCAAAGACAGACTTGTGTATATTCAAATGTTAGGCATATGTATATGTTGAATAATATATATTAAATATTTTATACAGAACTAAGCGTTTTTTTTTCGAAAATAGCATTCGGCATATTTCAGTATCAATTTCAAATTGTTTTTTTGGTATAAGTTTCACACGAAAGCTACAAATCACATATAGTTAAATAATTTAATAAGTTCGAAAATTTTGACGAGAAAGCCAATTTGTGGTAAATCGACGAATGTATTAGAAATATATATTTAGATATTAGGATTCGAACTTACCAAAGTGATCTTCGCATCAACGCCAGTTCAACAAAATTTCTTCGCCCGCAACAGAGAAGGAACGCGGTTTCACCTCCATATTGCTGTCGGAGGGCTCTAAAAATTCATAAAATAAATTCATAATCTTTAAATTAAGAAGACGTATTAATTAATTTGCACTTTTGCATTTAGCATTTTAACTGGAATTAATGTGGGTTAGAGAAATGCCACGTACGGAAAAATACAAGTAAATTAAAAATGACGTATTATGACGACATCTGTGCGCTTAAATCACTTCCGGTCTGGGACATTAAAAATTCAAGCGCTTCATTTTTATTTCACAGACTGTACAAGGAAATAAAGACAAATGAATGACGTTTAATTTATAACGGAACCCTACTACTAAACACGTACCCCATCTAAAAAAACACTAAACCATTGGGAAATTTTAAATTCGTTGTATCGCGTTGTTGCAGCTGATGTACTGCTTGGAATTGGCATGGCCGTCCCAATAAGCACTTGTCACAGAAAAACACTCCCTGTGTTCTCAAATTTCGTTACCAGTCGGTCTTGTCAGAATACGCATTTTAAATGATACATTCTTTGTATAATATATGACCCAGACTGCACTGAGAATGTTTTGCTTCATATTCACATTCTGTAGAATGTACAATCAGGATAGGTTTTACGTAAGCCTCAAGACTACAAAAAACTTTACCAGTCGTTCGACAGATATCTTTATTAATTTAATACGCAAACTAAATTAAAAATAGGCTCTATACAGACTTCTCTGTTACTAAAAATTTAATGTTTATATGTCCTGTATTAGAAACGACTTTAAAACTTAGATACACAAAGAGAAAATTGTCATTTGTCATAATAGAACTCTAAACCTTACTCTTTCATTACAACAGCGTCTCTTAGCCTATGAAAATCCAAAGCGTCACTCAGTATTTTTTATCGACTGACGAATCAAAACTTATTAAAAATGATAGTCAAACAGGTACATATATTACTCAATTACATTAAACTAATTTGTTTTGTCATTCGTATTAACCATTCACTTAAAAGTATTTAAATATTAACCGGTAACTATTTTATCACCCTGAACATTAATAAAATATTAAAAAATGTATACGTGGAATAAGAACCAGTGACTTTCTCTGGTATGGAATAACATATAACGTTTTGAAATCAGTATCAGTTTCTTTATAATCCGTTTTGTTGGAGCGGGAAGTAACCTCAGTTTTCTGTACAAAATAATAGGTATATTTATACACAGTTCGTACAAAAGATCTCAAATAATTCTATTATAGTAAATCTCATTTTGAGACACGTTGTGTTTTTACAGAAAACTGTGTCCCACAAAACGTTTGACAAGCTGCTGATGGATATTCTAATACGTATTTTGAAAAAAATGCGTAAGGCCTAAACAACAAGGTTCGAAATCTTAACCATTATGAAATTATACTCAACGAAAGGGATAAAGTTCATAGAAAAACGTAGATAAAATTGAATAATTTTATTTGAAGAAACAAATAATGGTAATGTATATGATAAATCTGTGATGATTAATTTGAAACGAAAGATAGATTTATTCCGAGCATTGTTTTAATTGTTTATTTCATGAACTAATGTCCCGTCAGTTAAACAAATCGAAGTCTTAAATACGACTTTACTTCGTTCTTCTCCTTTCCTCGTCAATATTGCATTGAACTGAACCCGTTCCAAACCTCATTTCTGTTTATATAAAAGGAATAGATCTGGTTGGAAATAACGAAGCTTTTAGAAGAATTTGTACCTTTTTAACTTTCATCGCAGAAGCATCTTGAAGTTTCCAGAACGTCAACTGAGAAATGTCGAGGTGAGTCAGCACGTGGCCGGCCTGGCTGTCGTGGGGGCCCTCGATGTCGTCGTAACCCAAGGCCGGTCACATCACAGCTGTTAACAACACGTGGTCTCACTGCGCATGACTACGAATCATGCTTACGTTAGCGCTCAGCGTACGTTGAGAAACATTCTCGGGCTTACTTGGAATTCGATGTGATCGCCGGCATCTGATATTCACAAGAGGAGAGCCGTGGTTTTGCAGCCACAAGTATGTTTTACATACGTAACGGTAGCGATTTCTACCAATCTTTCTACGACAGTTTTCACTCAAAATAAGCCAATGAAAATCCATCCAAAGTTTTACCAACGTTCCGTGCAAAACTCTGTGTTTATGATTTGAAATATTGTACAACTGGAACATCCCAACAGTGAAACAAGGTTATTCAACAGATCTGGTCTCTAAGTAATGGAAACCCGAAGGTTCATCACCGAATTAACCAAAGCCCTCCACCGGACCCTGTCCTGGGCCAACAAAATCCAGTCTCCTTCAACTCCTATCTCCCATAGATCCCGTCTGAGATTATCCTCCCATCTACGTCTAGGTCTCCCCAGAGGTCTCTTCCCCTCAGGCTTCCCAAATAGTGGACCCAACCAACCAGATGGCTTATGAAACCCGAAGGTTCATCACCGAATTAACCAAAGCCCTCCACCGGACCCTGTCCTGGGCCAACAAAATCCAGTCTCCTTCAACTCCTATCTCCCATAGATCCCGTCTGAGATTATCCTCCCATCTACGTCTAGGTCTCCCCAGAGGTCTCTTCCCCTCAGGCTTCCCAAATAGT